GGCGGGGGGGGGGACAGAGAGCGAGAGAGACCCTGCCCCAGGGGAATGACAAGACGTGGCTGTGAAGGGCCGGGCGCGGGTACCTGAAGCATTCGTGCGAATGTACAAGATTTCGCTCTTGGCCCCGCGGATGTGGTCGTTTTCCACCATGGTCAGGGTCACCGCCTTCACGTACACCGCGTACTGCGTCCAGGGCTTCAGCCCGTGCAGCAGGATGCCGGGCTCGAGGTCCTTGTTGGAGGGCAGGTCCACATCCACCATGTTCCAGCTGTTGGAGCCGCAGGCGTCCTGACCGTCATATTCGGTGACGTTCTTAAAGGGTCTGAAAGGCAGTGGACACGGCTCAGAGCCTGCGCGGGGCTCTTAGAAATCGTCCCCAAGGGGCCTCTCTCGTCACAGTTTCTTTTTTTTTTTAAATATATCTTTATTGATTTCAGAGAGAGGAAAGGAGAGGGAGAGAGAGAGAGAAACATCAATGACGAGAGAGTCATTGATCGGCTGCAGCCCGCAACCCGGGCATGTGCCCCGACCGGGAATCGAACCCCGATCGCCTGGATCCCAGGTCGACGCTTAACCGCTGAGCCACGCCCGGCCGGGCTCTTGTCACAGTTTCTATCATGGGGATTCCACATGAAACCAATAACCCACTCGATTTTTTTATGCAAGAGTGCAAGTCAAGCAAGTGGGCTCAGGTCTCACCACAGTTCTGTCACACTGCAGATCTGGAGACGGCTCCAGGGAGCGCCAGCTCTGTAGTTGCTGGGATTTAAAACACCGCTCCGTAAGAATGCACCCGAACGCTACTTTTCTCTCTTCTGAAATGGCATTTTCTCACCATTAAGAAAAAACAAGCCCAGCCATTTAATGCAAACACCAGCTGCCGGTGAAGAACACCTTTTGGATAAAAATGACTTTGCTACAGAAAACAGTTTCCAAAATCTAATTTGCTCACCAGCAACTCTGATTGCTTAAGTATCTTACGATACTTGAATATCTCGTTTCCAGACTGTCTCAGAAGCCAGCATCTGCCCTTTGGTGACATTACCAGCCGGCATGGCCAGGGCCCTGGTAGGACCATCAAAGGGAACAGAGTGTTTGTGCAGATGCAGGGTGGGTGGAAATCGGATGTCCATCAGCTCAAAGGGCTGGCCACTGCCCAATGACACAGACATCAACATACCCCTCTGTCATCGGGACGAAAGACCATGAGTGACCCGTCTACAGGGACAGCTAATCATCCCGGACCCTGCCTAGGGCCCCAGCTCCAGCAGGGAAAGGGTACTGGACCCTGCTATTGGAGGCTCTGGTTCCAGCCCTGGGGACGCCCAGCACCCGGGACCTATGTCATCAGGATGGGATCCGGTCAGAACAGTGACTAAGGAGACTGGGGAACCACTTGGATTGAGAAGACAAAGGAGGAAGAGGGGCTGAGAGCTGCCCCCTGGAGGGCAAATGTCACCTGAAGGCACAGGAAGGGCCCCAGCAGATTTGGGGAGAAATCACAGAAGGTTCAAGGCATGGAAAGTTCGCGACCTTTCCCTGTCCACTCTCCTCTCTTGTTCAGAAGGCTCATGACCTTGGGACGGGCCCATGGACACAGCGGGAGCAGTAAGTGGATGGACCTGCCCGGGTCCCCTTGAAGGGAGCCCAGTGTGTGGCAGGGTGTCCCTGGAGTAGGGGTTGACATGACACCGCAGCCCCATCTTCCATCCTAGTTTATGGATATTTGGACTGACCTAATTCTGTGAAAGATAAGCGTTTTCCTTTGGATTTATTTTCCTCTAATGCCTCTACCCACTGGAGCTAACGCTTCCCCATTTGTGGCTGTCACCGGCGGGACAGCGGGGAGGGCACTGAGGGTGGAGCATGACCCCCCCCCCCC